TATCTTACTGGTCGTGTAGTATCTCGTGGTATCATTGGATTTTCTTGACTAGTTGGACTTCTATTCTCTGTAACTGGAGGTTTATTTTCTTCATTTTGAACACGAGTTTTTCCCAGTGTATTCAATGTAATTATTGTTGGTTCAGTAATACGTTTTATCTTTTTTAATACATCAAAAACTTGTAATGGTTGAACAATTTGTATTGAAAATAAAAGATAATCAACGCTTGCAATTCGTGCATTATTGTTATCGAAATTTGGTTTATAATGATAGATATGAGAATATAATTCATCAAATGTAAAGAATTCCACATTGTAACTATCATTGAGATCTTCCATTGATTCGATATAACGTCGAAGAATGTGATGTTCATTTTTACATGCGATTTCAAATTTACCATAGTTCGGTTGAGTAGGATTGAGAGATTTTAAGGTTAACGATAAAGGAGATTGTTTATTAGTTGAAGATTTTTGAGCTCGATTAATAATTAGCTTCCATTTTTTTACTGTAAAACCATCGATTACTTTAAAATGAGCAAATTTGAAAGGGTTCGAAAGAAGACGACGGCTATTACTAACTAAAAACAAAGAGAGGCGTTCAAGAATTGAGTACACTTCAGTTTCATCGAGATAAGATGACGGCAATGTTAGAAGTTCGTTGAAAAAAAACTAATTTACCTGGTGGTCTTGCTTGATTAATTTTTTCTAAAATACGGCGAAATTTTGTTAACTTCCAAGTAGCAGTAAATCGTTTTGAAAGATCATATCCTTTTGGTTTAGGTTCAATTTCGAATTCGTTAATAAATCTAACATATGCAACAATCGTACAATCATTTGTATTCAATAGACTTCCTTGTTGCACACCATTCATAACATTTTCATAGAGCTCATCTTCGATATAAAAACATATTTTTGGTGAAATATGATCATTGATAAATGATGAAATAGGTTCGCCTTTGGTTAAAAAAAACGTATGTTTAGGAAAAAAATGTTCTTTAATTATTTGACCACCATGAGTTGTTGTCAATACTAATTTAATATCAGCGTTAAGACATTTGTTATGTGGTTCTAAAAGAACTAGTCCAATCTGAATTCGTGATGGATTTGATTTATGTTCAATAAATAATTGCCATTCAGATTCTAATAATTCATCCTGAGGGAATATGAAACTTTCGAGTTCATTTTCTGCATGATTGGTGCTTAAACGTCGTAAAGTTTGTGCTGGCACAAACCAATCGTGATTAATGATAAGAAAACGTTCTTGTGCTCGACCCCGTGGGCGAAGGATTGGTCTCTAAAATGAACAATCAAGCTAAACATGTGAATTAATTTTTTTTGCTTTTACTCTTTTCAATGGCTCTTGCACGATTGTATCGTCATTTATTGACATATCCCTCGTCCTTCTTTTCTTAAATGCATGCACACCAGTTTCTCAATTTTTTTTCTTACTAATTCCATACCTTTAATAACAACGGCAGATTCAATCTATGTGTAAACAAACCTTGTAACAATGGCAAACGTAACCTCGCAAATAAACAATAAAAAATTAGTTAATCAACATGCATATGCATAAAACAAGTGCAAATTTTCAGAAGAACTGATACGAATGAAGAACAAACTAAGTATTTTAAAAATAAAAATATATCATCATCGGTATGCTAGCAAACTATTTTTTATTTCTAGAATAGCAAATCAGGAAAAGTACGTCAGAGAGAGAGAGAGAATAATGTCGTATGACAAAACTGATTATTATTCTGCCAGTTGCAATATTGACCGACCCCATTCAATGATATATTGAATATCTGGTCTAGTATTGACGCTAGTGCCAAGATCTACACCGTACGAATTCCATTGATCGAGAGTCAGTTTTGTGCTAGTACCTTTCACCTTGCAAATAAAAGTAATCTCTACTCCGGATGCAATAAAAATTTGATTCGACATCAACAGTGGTATGTATAGATCGGATGTTTCACAACCGTCAATATTATATGGTATTGAACTACTGTAGAGTACACATGTGTTATTTCTAAAAATTTCGTTAAATCCACTAAAACCACGTCTGGGTGCGTAATCCCCAAGGCAAGTATTACTTCCAAAACCAGCTTGATTTGCATCTGCATACACATATATTTCATGGTGATCTGTTTTTGAATGTCCTAAATAATTCTTTTTACCGCCATATACAAGAAAGTTATAGCTATCTTCATAGAAACAACTACCATCGTCATGATCGATGGGCCATACAGAGCGATAGTTATTAAAAAGAGCATTGTGATGAATATAACTGGTATGCTGCCAAAGGGAAGGAATACCTTGCTGAACAGCATCAGTCAAGAATGGTTGTCGATCCCATGAATTAATTGGTCCATGATCACTTGTTTCTCGAACAGTATTGAAAATAACATTATAACTAATAGTATGATTACCATAGAAACCATCATTTATATTGATTGCCGCCCGTGGCATATTGAACATCAGATTACCGATGACAGATATACTTCGACTTACAGATATTAGTACAGGTGATGATTGCTTGATATAGATGCCAGTTTCATGAATTAGATTTGATTCTATCAGTGTATTCATAGGTTGACTTGTAACGCTAAAGCCATCGATTCCATTCGTGCTGCCAACGAGAATGATTGCTGAATCAGCTAACCATACGAATTCATTTAAAGTAATCGTCGATGCATCATTATAATCAATCAATGCAATACCATTGCTACCCAATTGTGTGAATAGATTGTGTGTAATAGTAACCGTTTTTGTGTTGGTCAAATAGACAGTACCACCTCGATGAACAGCCCAATCACCACCACTTGGCACCATATAATCTCTCATGTATGTATTACTTGTCTGTGTAAATATCAAGCCTCGAATCAAGATATTATTTGCAGAATCTTCGTCATTACTTCCACTAATCGAGATCAAACATGGAATTTGACTAGCAACAAAAACTTGAGGCATAGTTTCGTTTGGCATAAAATAGAGAGTACGAGTACTTTTGTCTAAAAACCATTCATTTGGTGAGTCAAGTTCTTCGAAGATATTTGCCACATAAAATGCACCTCCACTATGCGAACCACGAGCTTCTTGAAAACCTCCTCTACTGAACATTATCGTATTTTTGGCACTATCGACGGATGCTATTTCGAACACCCAACTACCCCAATAACCAGCATGAAGAGCATGTACGAAACCTGTTGTTGGTTTACTCCAATTGGTGATATGAGGCAAGGCACCATTTTTTACAGTAAAACCTTGAGGTACACCATAGTTACTGCCAGCAGGTGGTGATGCAGTACTCCAGAAGTTTCTAGGTGGATTGAAAACAGAAGCTCCACCACCTATACCAAGTTGATAATTAGGAAACTCGGTGCCATTTCGGTAAGGCTTATCTACATGAATGTCCGTACTTGAATTGAAAATCGGTGCTATCCAACTTTGTGAATCATAAGAAAAACCAGGATCTTTTGCATACAAACCGTGGGTAGCAGGATCACCATTTGGATATTTAGCTACGATAGCTCGTCCATCATCAATATATAATTCATTAAATTGGTCTAGATTGACGAAAGATGGTATCTGAGCTTTCATGATGGCACCACCAGCTGCTGTTTTAGCATGAATGGACCATTGCAATTGCAGTAATGCGCCACCACTCAATACAACACGTTCATCTTGATAGTTTTCAATGACAAGATTACTGTCATTGGCTGTTAATGCAATGGCACCTATTTGACTACTTGTTGTCGTAGCATTTGTACCTAAATAGTAAGTTCCTCCTCTTATAGTAATACATAATGTCTTTTCGTTGCCATGTGTAACACGCAAAATACGCGTAAGTGACAAAGCTGCTTGAATTGTTTTCTTTGGACGGTCAAATGTACCATCAAACATATCATTGCCTTGAAAGTCATGTACGAATATTCTACTATAACAAATTGTTTCTTTTATTTCCGGAGTTGTTTTGAATGGTTTCGCAAGCTTTGTCGTTGTATTATTGCTAATGGAAACATTACTGCATTGATTCATTTGAAAAGCACTTTGACTGAGCTCTGTCCAATTCATTTTCCAAGCCGTAGGTGCAATATATCCAGCCATTTCAACGATGAATGCTCGGAGTGCACAATCATCATCCAATGGAACATGTGGGTTCCCTACAGTACTATAGCCAGGATGATGAGATTCAGTCAACCTGCATGTAGTACTTATAAACAAAGCTACAATAAAAAGTATGCAAATGCGATGCATATTATATATTCTCTCTGTGATGGTCAACCTTCGGCAAATGCCTGTTTATAAAAGTCTATGATAAGAGGTCCCAAATTTAGATGCAGATTGATAAGATAAAATGTGATACTACTGTGCATCATTTTAGATGAAAAAGCAAATATCACTACAGTGTAGCGGATGTGAGCAACCTGTGCGAACGCTCCGAACGCAAAGATGTTGAGGCAATAGCAAGACGTCTATCAAAGACACATACCCGCAAAAGAAAAAGAACATACAGTTTGTTGACTGTTAAATGACTAACGTATTGAGAAGCAAAAAAAAATGCAGACATTTTAAAAACGATGACAACCTTGTTTCTATTCAACTTCATCCAACTTTTTTTCTTTACGAATGGATTAATATCTAATTCACCTTCTCAACAACGAATCTTTTGTGTTATTAAAACTTTCGATGGAAATTTAGCAACACGAGCTTCCACTGTTCATCAAACATGGGCAAGTCGTTGTGATAAACATGTATTTTTAACAGCAGCAAATCTTACGAAATGGAACAATACATTACTACCTATTCTTAATCTACACGGTGTTAGTGATAATTACATGGAGTTAAGTGTCAAAGTATTTGATGCACTCAATCATATAATTCAGGTACCACAGCCATATGATTTTGATTGGCTATTCATAGCTGATGATGATACCTATGTTATTATGGAACATTTACGTGAATTACTTCAGCATAGTAGTCGACCATTAGCTTTTGGTCATTTATTTGTACCTAAAAATGGAGCAACTAGTCATTTGAGTGGTGGTGCAGGTTATGCAATTAATACAGCTGCGCTGCGACGAATGCTACCTAATTTACAAACGAGTTGTGCAGACTGGTATGTTCCTGGTATGGAAGATGTCTATGTAAGTCGATGCTTACAACATTTAAATGTGTCGCTTGACGGTGCTATTGATGGTTCTCATCATCGATTTTATCCTTTAGAATTTGTTACAATGTATAAGATGGAACTTCCACAATGGTTTTCAGATTACAATTCATTAGAATCTTATCCGGGCTTTGATTGTTGTTCGTCGAAATCGATTAGTTTTCATTATATGAAACGAGAATGGATGCATTTGATTGAATGGGCGCGTTATTTGCATGCCGATGACTAAAAACTATATAATCACTGTGTTTACCATTCATTTTAGAATAAGATGATTAAAATTTACTTGTATCTTAGAATGAGAAGAATGATCATATTACTTGTGAATAAAACTGCCAAAAATATTATTCAACTAGATTTTAAATCTATGCCATTATTAGTGAATCCCTATATCCATCTGTCGCCTTTTCTTTTTCTTTGTCTAGGCACTGTTTGTCGAAAAATAATGCGAATGCTGCACTGTAAAGTGATTGAAATAGATGGCAAAATACAATATTATTATTGGCATACAAAATAGGAGGCAGCGAAAAACATGTTGTTTTCTCTCATCCATTATTATTTGTCGTAAAAAACGACATATTTTTTCTATTTACATCTATATGAATAATGTGGGTGTATGAAATCGTTTTAATAAAAAGATATCTTACGTTTTCTTTTCTGTTCTCTCAGCGTAACGTTATATAGGCATATGATAGGTGGTGATATCTATCGCGAAAAGCACCAGTAGGGCTTTTATTGGTTACAGAAATCCGAACTCATGGCTTCTGTCGATTGGTTAATATAAGTTTGAGGGTCGGCGTGATGCACTTTTTCATCATCATGTTTTTCGTTTTAAATAAGCACCCAGTTCGTTATTTTATGCCTATGTAAATCGCGGAAGAGAAAGATAGCCTCATAGAAAAATATTGCTCTGCATTTGATTAAATGCGTATTATTTTGTTTTGCAGATTGTTTTCGACTTAGTAGTTTATATCGTTCCAAGTTCGTGTATACTCAGTAAGTATCTATAAATAAATTTTTCTCTTTCGCATCTAAATATCTTTTAATAGATAATGGATGGAGCAGCTGGTAACCTAGGTGATGGCGGATTTGATCCATGCGAATGCATTGTAAGAATTTCAAAGGCAAAAATTACAAAAACATTTTTGTGCTATTTTAATTTTTTTAGAACATGATTCAAATGAATCATGAACGTGTTATGAATCGTCTAACTGATATGCTACGTAATGCACAAACAACATGTACTGACACAGAATGTTTTACCGGTCCAAGTAAGATTCGTATAAAATTTATTTTATTGAAAATATTTTTCTATTTGTGTTTAGTACCTGGTCTACCAAATACTGGTGGTAATACGGGAATGAGCAATATGTATATAATGTTAGCTATATGGTTTGCTATTGCTCTATTACTATTTCTTTTTCGACCACGTACTCTACGGAATAATCGCGATACTCTTGGCAAACCAAATAATCAGGTAAACATTGACACATAATTATCGATTTAAATTGTATCATCTGTTTGCTAGAATCCTCATAATAATGGTCAAGATCCTCCAGCACCAGAAGTTCAATAGATAATCAATTATCATTAAAAATGTATCATATACTTTCCGAAATTATTTCACTTTTTGTAAATCGCAATAGATGGGACAATATACATATATATATATATATTTGCTTATTTTTGGATTGACTCAAAATATACGAACATTGACTCGACTATTATGATTTGTATCTAAATTTATATATAACTATATTCACGGGTTGTTTATAAACTAGCATTATTTTATGTGATAAAAATAAGTTTGGCCAATGGGATATACAGAAGCTTTGTTTTATATGAATATTTTTGTTTATCTATTGTTTTGTTTTCATTTACGAACAGTGTCTTGCTTGGTGAGATTTCATTTTTTTTCTATTATTATTGACAAAATAAATCATAATTGAAGCTCATAAAAATCTTATGGATGCGAATAACTATTGTCCTAATCATTCTATTGATTATTAAACATCTAATGAAAGCAAGACGCATAGTTATCTTTTTATGAATGCGGACTGATTATCGTTATACGAGTAAATATTCTTGGAGCTAAATGTGTAGATACAGTAAAGACATCAACATCTTCTTTGTTTCTCTTGTTTATAATCGAAGTAAAGATGAAAAATGGGAAAATGTACGATTTTTTGTCGATATCAATATACTGTTTGGGTGTTTTTTCTCACTAACAACATAACGGAAAAAATATACTGGAAAATAGAGTACAGAACTGCCTTTCTTTTCCTTGCTTTTCTTCTGATCGAGAATTGTTTTTTTACTAGCTGTCACAAGGCGGACAAGGATAGCTATGATAGCGATGATTGCCAAGTGCTTTCCCCTTGCTGATAGCAAAAGATACAGAAGATTCCCTCCTACATGCATATCTTGTGCTTAGCACAGTTTGATTTCTACTCGACTTGATTAGGATAAAACAATATCAGTAAGCTTGATTATTTCAGTTGTTTCCAAAAACAAAAATTATTCGAGTACAGATGCTGTTAAATTATTATTTTAATCTAAACATAAAATCATTAGTAGTACGACTTTACTATATGTTGCTATATATATATATATATATATAGATATATAGATATAGGCATTCCAATTCTGTTCGTCTCATTTCTTTCGATGCTTGCTTATTCCTGAAGCGTTTTCCTTTTTTGATATGAGTCAATCATTGAGTTGATACAGTTCCAATCATTCATATCCTTTGTTTACAAAAAAATGTGTATATCACAGAGATTTTTTGCTTTTCAATCAAAGTCGAGACGACCTTCTGAATAAATTTTAAACTTGCTTTTATCATACATATATTGATTTTCTTTAGTTTAAAACAATACAACCATGAGTGGTAGAAATGGTAAGGAAAAAATATAGATTTTCAGTTTTGCTAAAATTATTTTCTTAATTTTAGTACGAGGTATGAATACAAATAGATATTTGAATGATTTTTCTCAATTTTCTAATTGATATGAAGGAGGTGCTAATGCTGCTGGTGGTTCTAAAGCAGCTTTTTCTGTGTTTCAACAGAAAGATGTAGCTGCTGGCGGAACAGGAAAAGTCACTAGGTAATTATTTAATTAACAATCGTATCAGGTTATATTTTCGGAACTAATCTACAGTGAAAATACTGGCGGAGCTCCAACAAATCCAGCTAGTATCAAAGAGCGTCTTCTTGGATGGTGTCAACAAGCTACTAAAGGTTATAACGTAAGCTAGCTGGTTTTTCTTTATGTAATTAATCTGCTTTCGAATATTTTCCATGTAAAGAATGTCAACGTAACAAATTTTTCATCATCGTGGGCAGATGGTATGGCATTTTGCGCATTAGTTCATCATTATTTACCAAATTCAATAAATTTCGATGCTCTCAATCCAAAAGATAGACGAAAAAATTTTGAAATTGCATTCAAAGCTGCTGAGTATATTTATTATTCTGCGTCCAAGAGAAAATTTTGTTTTTTGATTTCCATAGAGATAACGGATGTGCACCATTGCTCGACGTCAATGATATGATTGAAATGGGCAATAAACCCGATTGGAAATGTGTATTCACTTATATTCAATCACTTTATAAACATTTTGTTATGATGCCTCAAGCAATGGCAGCACGAACAGCAGGAACAGCACAAGCTGGTAATCATTAAAAACTGAGAGAAATACAACAAAAAATAAAATAAAACTTATATAAACACACATATGAACATAAGGTTTTTTCTTATTGTATCTTATTTTATTCAATAAAACAAAGCAGAACTTCATGTTAGTATACAAGCACAAATAGTATTTGGCTTGACTTTTTCTAAGCGATAATGTTGTTCATATTGTAAATATTTAATTGCTGTATAAATTGCATCACCAATACCAACGTTTCCTTTCACGCTTATTTCGAATACATCGTAACCGTTCGATTTTAATTTATCAATGGATTGTTGACTAACAACACGATCGCGTTCGAGATCAATTTTATTTGCGACAAATATAACTGGTATTGACATTAATTCGTTGGAGAATTTCGAACGTATACTATCATGAAAATGTGTTAAGTCGGAAAAGCTTTTCCCGTCTGTTATGGAAAACACTATTAAACATGCTGTTGGAAGTGTATCGGAAAATTTTAACTTCTGTATATCATTAATTGTGGACAGATCAATCAATATCAAAGTGCAATCATAGCCATCCATAACAGTTGAATAGACAGTGGAGCCATCAGGATTAATATGAGAATGACTAAGACATGGAAATTCATTTCGGACATAACGTCCTATAAGAGATGTTTTTCCGACTCCTGCATCACCAATGATTAGAATTCTAAAAAAGACTATGATTACATATATAACTGTATTTCACATTTTCGATGAATACCGATATTCTAATGGACGTTGTATGTGACGCTTTGGCATAATGTCATATAAAAATATGTTATTACTTCTTTTTTTGTCTTTCGACACACAATGTGTCGAACTGATTTTTTTCTTTTTTGGAGATGTGTAACGCAATATTGAATATTTACTCACAAAAAAACGTGAAGAAAAAGAACACTTAAGTAACTCGACAACGTAAAACAAATTAGCATAGAATTGAATGTTTTTTTCCTTGTTATTGATCCTAAATAAATAAAAAATTTTAGATTTTTATTATAGTAACTATACATAGATTACAATAAGTACAATTCGACTGTTTTATCTATGTGAAGAGTAAAAGAAGAAACAAACGTTGTAGCTATTCATATCATCTAGATATCATATCACGATTGGCGTCAGTTGGATGCTGAAGGAGAATTCTATTGAAAGTTTTTACAAGCAGTTAACACATAATGACAATTATTTGAATAGTTTACTGAACTATTTTCTCACATAAATAAATATTTGTGAAAGATTATCGGATGTTTTGACTTCAGAAGTCCTATACCTTGTTATGCATTGCGGATTTCGTTTTGATAAATCAAGCAGTATTTTCGATGTTACTTTTAAACTTTAAGACGTACAATATCACACTTCAATTTTATATATAAATGTAACGCTTGTACAAGTAGCAAAATGCAATATCTAGTCTAAAATTAGATTTAAACGATTGGAATTGTGAATTTTCAGAGAGCCTATACGTATAGATTGGCATTTCATAGAAAAGAAAACATATTCTTTTCATCTATTTGAAATTAAACACAAACGTTACCTTGATCGTTGAAATAAAATCTTCGATTAATTACTGATTTGTCAATCTTAATAATAGCCAATATAATCTGCAGTCAAATATTGACTGTATAATAAAATTCATCATTTCAAACGTCTCCATCGTTGACTAAATAATCTTCATTTTTCTATCGATTGATTACTTGTAACTTCTCTATATATTGAACTGACTTCTTTCGAATGTGTATCATTCTCCCTCATTACTGTTAATCTGTTCTTCGCTCGATCTATCTTTTTTTCTTAGACCTATGTACATATATATATATATATACGAGTATAAGTTTGTTCAAGCTTCATGTATCAAAAGAGAATATTTAGATCACATCTTCCGTTAAGACAAAAGTTCAACAATATTATTGTATTTCTCTTCAAATGATTTTGTTTTCAAAATACTTTGTTTTCAAAAGAATTACTATCGGCATTATTGCCATATATAATCAGGCGTATATACGTGTTTTCAATCACTTAACGTGTGTATGGCACAAATATATAATAGAACAGAACAGCTCTCTATTGAAGAAATAGGAAACAAAGAAGTCTTATTCATTCATGTCTGGCAGCTTAAAAAGAAACATGTTTTGCATATACGTATACATATATATGTATGCAAATAGATGCAGTCATCGTGCTTTGAATAAGTCTTGTAACACAATATAAATAAACGTTTAAGTATATTCTATTGAAAACATGTTTACCTTTGAATTGCACCAAAGAGAATAGTGATATTGTTTTTTTTGTAGAATTCACATGTATTTTGAAAGAAAATGGCCCGAGTAAGTTACGCGATGATGTTTTCGATTACAAATGTACTCTCAATCATCGTGCATAATAAAAAAATATGACAAGGTTCCTATTATCGACACTAACAAGTAGGTGCTGGGGGGGGGGGGGGGGGGGGG